AATTTAATCACATAATCAGTGTTTTAATGGATTAAAACCGTGTGCCTGGGCGAAAATGTCCTGTTTTCTCCCCGCTATTCCTTCATCCAAGAAGCCCTTTTTAGACTATTTGACAAAAGTGGATGTGTAATTGAATTCAGGAACAGCATCAGATGACACACAGGCTGTCATATGTTAGTCAAAAAAAAAGAAAAATAGTTACCATAACAACTGACTCACCACTTGTGTTTCCAAGAGGAGAACATCTTAAAGGAGAATGCCACAGGTCAGTCCCATGCGTGTTTGTGCTGTTGGGGAACAGGCAGGAACATTGTTTTCATGGTGCCAGGAATGATGGGGGGGTTCTTACTCAACTAAGGATTTGTTACCAGAAATAAGATTGTGCTTCTTAGATGATCATGTCCATAGCTGGAAGCAACAGCAAATAAGTATGTTTAAAAACAAAATGAAAAGTCCTGAGTACTGGATTTTCCAAACATATTGGGGATCACTCTTTTTTTTCTGTTAGAATTGCTGCTTTTACTTTTCTTTGGTTCATTGTTGAGGACCTGAACCTGCTCATGGCTGAAGTGTAGGGGTTTTACCTTTGACATCTGCATTTCCCTGATCAAGCCTTAACGTGATTTATTTTGTATTTTGTGTCAGCCCCTCTGAGCCAGCTTCAAAGCCACTTCCCCAGACGTGTTTCCTGCGTCTCCACTGAAGCCCTTGGTGCTAAAACTCTTGACATCATCACTAGAAGTAGCCTGAGGATCATCAGAGTCTTCTTTGAAGACTTGGTAGTAATTTCCACTACAGACAAATATTCTGCTGAAAAAAAGGTTTTGCCTCTGCCCCCTCTGTCCTGCAGGCAGTGATAAATAAAGAATTGCTGCAAAATCAGATTACTTTTAATGTGACATTTCATACGTTCTGCTGGGTGAGGGCAAAGGGAATCACAGAGTCGTTGAGGTTGGAAAAGACCTCAGTGAGTGATTAACCCTCTGTCTGTGCAGAGAGTTTATTCTCTCTTCTACCTGCTCTTCTGAAATCCTTAATATGGTGATCCTGTGGCTGAGGGGTCAGTGCCCCAGATGTGTGTGTGAACGTGGATAAATGTGCTGGGGCTGGTTAGTGGAAAACACCCGAGTTCCTCCAGCTGGGATCCCACCCCTCGGACACCTGGTACACACTGGGAGCCCCACAGAGCTGTGGGTAAAAAGCAGCAATTCTGGCCAGCCCCTGGCAGCCCTGGGTTGCAATAGTGGCCACATAATTTGTGACATTATTAGAGTTCAGCAGAGTCCAGGAACTCCTGGCTGATTTTGACCTCTCTAAATATGTCCCTCTCTGAATCATGCAATAAAACAATTGGAGAGTTTGAGTCTGCCCATATAACAGGACCACTGTGAGCCCTGGTAGGTGTGGGGTTCCTTTTGGTGCTGAGCTTAAGAAAATTTTAAAGAAAAAGAAGTATAGAATGCTTTCTTTTGGGTCTTTGGGTTGTTTTGTTTCAGACTTTCAGACTGGCTGTTTAGCATTTTGCTCAAAGAAAAGCCCAGCTCACACACATGGAAGATTGCCAGGGACTCTAATCCCTATTTTGGTTAAATTACAGTACCCAGATTTCGGTAACAAAGCGCATTGATTTTATATTCAAAAAGATTTTTATATTTAGTCTGTTAACCTTTTGTAATTCCCACCCACAGCTCTGCACTGGGGAACATTTTGATGCTAATTGTTGTCAGTGGGGAATCTGCCCCGGCCCCTTGGGAATGTCAGTGCAGTGAATGCAGTGCAGGTGCTGGAACTGCAGCTCTGGAATTGTCTCTGGGCAGCAGGGATGGCTCAGACAATTCCCTTCAAACTGCGCTGGAGAACACTTAAAAACATAAATCTGGTAACCAAAGATAACCTGACATCATATCTGCAATAAGGAAAAGAGGGGGGAGAATTCTTCCCCTCATTTCCAAGGGGGTTTTCCAGACTCACTGTTTAAATCACTCCTCGCTGGGCAGATTCTGATTCAAGAGTTACTGTGCAGTTTTGAGAAGTCCCCCGGGGTTTAGGTGTTTGTGGGAATTCTTGTCTGGTAGTCCCTGGAAGTAGTTTGGTGGAACATCCCAACCCAGTGGGAATGGAGGGAAAAGGAGGGTTTGTGCTCAGAGCCCAGACCCTGTGGGTGACACTGGACACGTTTCCTTCAGCCCTGCTGCCCTCAGGATGAGACAACAGCCCTGCTTGTCCTTCCAGCAACTCCAACCAGACTGTCCTGGGATCTCAGTGGGCACATGGGTGTGTTTGCAATCCATAGGAAAACTCAACATCCTTCACTTTGCTGGAATCTTCATTACACTCTTTGTAAGATCTACGTGGGGCAGAGTTAATGATTATGCAACAGCAGTTTGTTTGGAATACACAATATGCTAAAGTACTGCCTGGGAAAATATTTTAAATACAGAGCAGTCATTACATTTATTAAATGATTATAATTTTAGTGGGTTTGATGAACCCTCCCCCTGAGTGAAGTCTTTGTTTCCACAGAATGCTTTAATATGGATGAGAGTCATTCTCACAAGAAAAATCTTTGGTGAACTGAAGTTACTATACAGAGGAAAAAGGGAAATTTAGGGTCAAAAATAGAAGATTCTTATAATCTTCACTGTAAGATAATATTTTTTTTAATCAAAACCAGTAGAATTCAATTTTAATTTCCAAGGATTGTATTAAAACTCCCCCTGGCCCAACTCGAGGCTGTTTCCTCTTGTCCTGTCCCTTGTGGCCTGCAAGAAAGGCCTGGCACCCACCTCCCCTTTTCACTTTGCCAAAGCTATAAATGAAATAGAGTCACGTTTGGGGGGTGTTTGCATGCACACTCTTGCACTTTTTGCATGTCCTGATGTGTTTATTTGTGCTCTCAGAATTTGGCCTCTGCAGCAATGCTAATGGGATCATAAATTTTAAAGCATGTTTGCTTCTATACCACTGTTCTGCTGAGTGCATTATTGGGATGTATCACACTTGATAATTTTCTTTGGCATCAGTCCAGTAGTGAAATAGTCCTCAGCAACTTGAGTTAATAGTACTTTATTTAACAAAAGTTAAATATATTTTGTTTTCTGCTGAATAGATCATCTTTTATCTCCTTCCCCCCCCTCCTTAATGAACAAATCTCTTTGGTGAATTGACTCCAGCATTAAAGACTAATGCAGTGTGTCTGGTCACCTTTAAATGAAATGGCTATCACCCCTTAGGACCAATAACCCTGTATTTTTAAAAAACTTGAGTTAAACGAGGATGATCTTGCAGCATTTCCCCTGCTACAGCCAGAGAATAACTCTCTGTGGGATGTGAACAAACATTTCCCTGCCTCTGTGGGGTCACAGCCCCCCAGCCCTTCTGAGGGCTCTTCCCTGCCAGGGCTTTCTCCTTCCTTCCCCCTCCCACCCCCAGCTCCGGGCTTGATGTCCTGCACAAGTGACTCGTGTGCTGTAATTGAATCGGCTGTAAAAAGATAATTAATTGATATTTCGCTCCCAGAGAGGTCAAGCTGCCCTCTCCTGAAGGGTGGTTATGGAAGGAGTCGTTGTGCTGGCACTCAGCCCTCAGAGGGGGCACAGGAGCTTTGTCTTGCCGGCAGCAGTAATTGTTGTAATTAAAATTAACATGAAGGGGGGACTTAAGGAGTGATTCTCTGATTTAGATGCTTTAGCTTCGCTTGAAAGCCTGTGAAACTGGAATTTATTTTAATGCCTGGCACAAGGCTGTGCCATTTGCTGCCTAAACCTTCCTGTGCCACGTTACCAGTAATGTGGGAGCACAGAAATACCACTGTAGGTGTGTAAATTTGAGATGGCTGATGTGAAATCCTGTCAGGCACCTTGAAACCATTGATTTTAAACACCTCTCTTTGAACAGCTGCTTATTGTGAGATTATTTCAGCTGAAGACTGGCATGAAGAATTCTTTCAGTAAATGGATTATCCAAACGTAGGACTTCACTGATGTTTAAGAGGCTCTTAAACATTTCCTTTGAAACTGTGTGTGGCACAAGAGCTATCAATTAACAATATAATAATATTGAACCCACATTAAATTTAGTGACACAGGAACCTTTCTGAAACTGTTGGTGCATTAAGAGCCTGGAGTTATCCTGGAAGGAGTGTGGTTCTCACTCATTGCCCAGAGAATAAATACTGCTACTACAGCAAAAGCTAATGGAGAGAAAGATGTTATTTAATGTCCTTGCAGAGGCAAAGACTTAACTTTTATCACACCTTATAATGATAAAGTTACAGCCCTGTGGAGAGAACTGCAGCATTCCCAGCTGGAAAGTCCTTATTTAAGGTCTCCTAGGTGGGATAAAGAACTGCAGGGGGAACACAACCCTTCTTTTCACTCTTCAGCCTTAATGTAAAATTCCATATTTGCATGGATACAATACATTAAAATGAGGAAAACAATAGTGTAGGCATCTAATTCCTGGAAATAGTCCAGAAAATAACCTGTTCTACAAACTGAAGCTGTATTGGGAAAATTCTGGGGAAAAGCCTAGATCCTATTGTTTGAACTGAGAAAGTAGGATGTGCCCATTCCCAAAGTTCAGGTACAGATAACTATTTACTATTTATAGATAACTGTTTGCTTCACTCCCAGTGAGAATGTTCCAAAAGGGAAGAGCAGATGAGAGTTTCAGATCAGACAATTTGTTCCAGCTTCTGGTTTCAAATTCTTTTGACTGTTGAGTTGTACATTCTGGCTTTTGTCTTTTCACTGCAGGGGATGCTGATAGTTTTAGTGACCAGGATCTAATTTTGCTTACAGAAATAAATAATAGGAAATCACGAGAGAATCTTAATATATGTAAATCAAACCCCAGCATAGTCAAGTGCTGATGATTTTGCATTTGTTCTTAAGTTACAAATGCAAAGGAAAACACTAGCACATCATAAATTACACCAGTTTTGGCACTTTCCCGAAGCACTACAGAAATACTTCTTTTTTTTTTTTTTTCCCCTGCAGAAAGGAGGCAAAAAGCCAAGTGGCAGGAGATCTGCTGAGAAAGCTGAGGATGACAGTCTCGCAGGGGAGGAGGGAAGGCAGCAGGTACGTGTGAACCAGGACTGTGCTGCTCAGCTGGGGGCTGCTCCTGCCCAGGGCAGGTTTGAGCCCTGCAATCCCCCCCTCCTGGACAAGGGCCCTGCTTTTTGGTTCCCTGACCCCTCTTTTATCACATTTTATGCCAGTACACCTTTTATTCCCTCATAGCCTTGGCTTGTGCTTGCAAGAACGGTTTTCAGCCCTTAACTTTGGAGAGTGGTTGGTGGTGGGGTTTTGGTGGTTGGATAGCTTTTTGAAGTGCTTTTTTTGTGTTATTAGATCTTCCTAATGACGTAGGTGGGGGGGCTCACTACACTTTTATTATTGCCATCAAATCTACTTTGCCTGGTTTTTCGGGTAGGAAAACTTTTCCAGCCAAGTTTTGCAGTCTGCTCTGATGACTACACCTAACCTTGCCATTACATCCAAAGTTGCCACTTGGAAACTGGTGTGTTTAAACAAACCTCCATAATTGCATTTCATAGGATGCATACAGTTAAAAAGAAAATAATTACCTAGAGAGGAAAAACTTCTCTGCTTACTGTGTTAGTCAAGTTTTGAAATGGTGGGTTGAGCTATGGCAATGCAATAATTATTGTTTATGCAAGCACAGAAAATCTTTGCTCTCTGCAAAAATAAACCACCAAAAAACATCAGTCTGAGTTTACTGAAAGTCTGGGGTGGAATTAGGTGTTGAAAGTATATTCTGACCCTCTGTGGTGTTAATGGATGAGAAGTTACCCCCAGCTGTAGATTTTCAGTGCGTCACTGATGTGCTTTCACTGTTTGAAAACAACACCAGTGTTACATTTTTTCTGTTTGATAGGCAAGAATTAACTAACTGGATAAACTAACAAGAGTAAACTGTCATTTCAAGTGGAGTGAATAAACCTTCCTTTTTATGAGTGCCATCTGAGAGCACAGTAAATAAAGCCTCTGGTTTTCAGTAACTGTTTAATCGATGAACAGCTCCGAGAGCAATCCTGGCTCCTTCCCTGCCCCAGCCCCAGATGTGCTCCCAGCAGGGCTGTGGTGGGAGATGGCAGGCAATGAAACTGCAGCCACAGCAGCAAGGACTGGGGGGAAATGAAAACTCCTGACTCAGAGGAGCAGGGCAATGGCAGAAAGACTCCTCATTATGGATCTCTTCACGGGGAGAAGAATGACTGGTAAATGAGGTTTGTGTGGCACAAAGAGGATGGAAATACAGTTGGACTCAGGCAGAAATTGTGCTCACTGTACAAAACAAACAGAGGAGTAGGGCAGGGCTCATTTGCATTTCTCAGCTGACACAGTGAGCAGGGAGGTGGAGATCCTCTGGCACGGGTGGGAGATGCAGCAGTTCAGAGGAAGGTGTTGTTTAACTTTCCCATTACTTGGGTTGTGATGAACGTGACTTTTACTACAGCCTGTTATTACTGGAAACTTGTTCAGTGTTTGCTTTAATTTCTTTGCTGTGCAGTAGTTACAAGCTCTTAAAATGCTGCCTTGGGCAGGTCTGCCCTGGTGACTGATTGTCACCTTTGTCACTGGTTCAGCAAAGCTCCAAACCGTGACGGTGGCACTCGCTGCCGTGAGCAGACATGGTGATCCCATGCCCCTGCCCCACTGAGGTGCAGTAGTTTCTCTGGAGCAGACAAGGTGTTTTCTCACCTTTAACCACCATGAGAAGTCATGTTCAGGCCACAGCAGACAGGACAATGTGCACTGGCTGACCACAGAAATCAGAGGTGTGGAACCCAGGCTAGTGGGAGGTGTCCCTGCCCATGGCAAGGGGGTGGAACTGGATGGTCTTTAAGATCCCTTCCAGCCCAAACCAGTCTGTGATTTATGAACTATTTAAAGCACATCAAAAGAAGTTCCATTTACCACATGCAGCGTGTCCCTCACTCTTGCAGTGTGACCAGGCAATCCAGTGTAGACTGGGGTTTTTTTAAACTTGAATGGTCTCACGTGGCTGCATTCCAATCCCTCAGTCTGAACCTGGTTTGCTTATCCTATTAAGTGGCCTAAGGAGTTGCAAATTCCCAGATTTATGGATCTAGAATAGCTGGAGATGCCTTCATATAAGACACCATCTTGTGTGGTCTGTCTTTGGGCATAAGACATTTTAGTGCTTGTTTTAGTGCTTGAAACACAAAGAAGTCCAAAGTCCGTTTTTCATCAAGATCCTAATTCTTAGATGGACTTCCATCCATCCTGTGATGTGAGGGATATGTCCTTGTGTGCTGAGGAGGGTTCAGGTACCCAAGAGGCTCTAGGAGTACTTGACTTTTACGTATTTTCTCCAATTAAAGACCAGGAATAGCAGCAATGCTCACCGTGTGCAGGAAAAGCCCAGTGCTGAGTCTCAGACAGGTCACTGGCAGGTGTCTCACCGTGGATCTCACCTCTGCTGATCCCATCCAACCCACAGCAGGGCACACACCGAGTTATTAATTAGCTTCACCCCCAATCAGCCCCTGCCCGCAGTGGCTCCATTATCACAGTGTGTATTTCAAACAATAGAAATGATTGAAACAGGAACTCCTACATTTCTGAGAAGATTAAGAATGGCACACCACCCTGTAATTTAGGTAGTTGTGCAAGTTTTCATTTGCATTAGCAGAGTAGTGCAGATTGTGTTGAATTATTCCATTAAAATATCTTCAGGTTTTGAAAGATTTCCTGTGCCATCTGTATGCTGTTTATTTTGGCGTGTTCTGGTGCCGTGGTGATGGATTTTGTGGTTGTTTTAAGCGTATGTGTCTTCAGATGAAGATAAAACTGAGCTCCATTAATTCCCCAGAAGCCCAGAGAGTGGCACATTTGAGTCTCAGTGCTGGTTTTAAGCCTTGAGAGCCACCTTAAAACTCTGAGTGACATTTATAGAATAGCTGAATTTAATTTTAAATCTATCACTCAATTCCATTTCCTTTATTAGTAAAATGAACTTCTTTCATATGTGACACTGACAGTTACTGCAAGCAGAGATTTGTTGTCACATATTTTTGTTTTCTTCTGTTATGTGGTAAGTAGGGTCAAGATTGTGTTATGATTAATTCAGAATAGTTGAAATTTGTATTTAACTGAAATCTGGATGAAGCTGGTTGATGTAGATTTATTTTTCTGTGACTTTGACTGGTTTAGCCAGGGTAGTACTTAATGAGGCCAAAAGGGGAAAATGGACATTACAGAGTCATGTAATGTCTTAAGATTCTTTCCATCTTTTTTGTCCCTTTTGTCCCTCCATATTCTGAGCCCTATTTTCAGTCAGCTGGGTACTTGTTAAAGCAGGATAACACAGGAGGATGTGAATTTTCAGTGTCACTGCAGAGATCTTCCTTACCAGGACTGTTGCTGGGAATGCTTCTGGTTAGGAAAAGCAGTAGTTGAAGGGTCTTAGTACTAAAAGTTGGTTCCATTGTTTTAGAAGGACTGGAACTTACTTGGCCCCTAATTGTGCAACTGCAGCTCACACCAGTGCTGCAGATTTGAATTCAGGAATTTGAAGGACAGGAAAGTTGTAGAATTGGGCATTTGTTGATATATGACAGGGCTGTACCATCTTCTTTTTCCCCACTGAAGCATTTGATTTTAGCTTTATAAAAAGCCTTGTTTTATACATGATAGTGTGTTGTCACCTGGGATATGCAGAGCTGTTGCAGCCAATGCCACACAGACCTGCTGTGGCTGCAAATAAAGATTTCTACAATTTCAGGACAGCAGGCAGCAAACAAAACATTTTGTGTTACACTTTGTACTCTGGACTTTAATATTTCATGTGCAATGTTTCATCACAAAGTGGAGGTGCTGTGGATGAGTTACATGCCAGTGGAAAGCTGGTTCCTCTAACCTCAAGACACACTTCTTTATTCCGTTAGACATTTTAATACATTGTTTTAAATAGCTCCCTCTCAGCTGTTGAGGTGGAAGCAGCTCTTGTTGTTTTTCCATAGCAGAGGTCACTATGCATCAGGGTCGTCAGGTGGCTGGCAAATAAAACTTAAAATAAGTGTCCCACGGCCCTCCTGCTTTACTTGAAAAGGATTCTTTTAGTTGCCTGGTCATTTTATTCATGCAGGAAAAATTCCTGGCATATTGTGGAATTTCAGTGTGAGGGAGATCCCTGTCAGTCCACAAAGAACATGGAAGTGGTGTGTGGATCTGGGCTGGGAGAGGAAATGTCAGCTCCCTGTGTCATTTGTGCTGAGCAACATTAGTTACCTGCCCTGTGCTTGGGAAGGAGCAGAGCCCAGCTGAGCCCGCTGCCATCAGTGGGATGTGAGCAGAAAGTTTGCAGGATGACCTTGTGAGTGATTACTCATCTGCTGGCTGTTAGGAACAGGCACAAATGGAATGTGACATGCATTAGAACACATTAATGATTGCCTTCCTCCCTCCATCCTCTTCTGTACAGAAAAATGATTTTAATTAAGACTTCCGTGATTAGTCATTTAATCAGTCATTAGGCCAATACAGATGGAGTCAATTAATTTTTTTACACTTGAATAGAGACTTGATGCTACTGCAAAACGTACAAGCTATTTTTTTTTTAACATTGTATCGTGGGCAATTGCCTCGGTGTCTGTCTGGGGAGTGGCATTACTGCTCCCCAAACTGGGGAACTGTACAGCACGTGGGGATTGTGGCAGCCATAGGTATGTTCTGTTCCATGCTGTCCAAATTTCAGTGAATCCCTCTGGGTTTGAATTCAGACCGACAGTTGTTCTTCTTGTGGAGTATCCTTGATTTTTCAAAGAGCAACGTGGCAGAGTTGCCTTTTAAAGCATGTTCAGCATCTCCTGATGTGTTTTATTACAGATGATAACTCTTTGTGTTTCAGTGCTAAATTTCATGCAAGAATTTCAAATGTTTGATGAACTTAAGGGCCTGTTTTGATTTGGTGTGGGAAGGCTTTCTGTGTGCTTGGCTGACGCAAAAGACGAGGTGAGTGAATTGCAAACAAGATGCAAGTTTGCTCCATCAAACAATAACCTGCTGTGCCAGGGGTGGGAGAGGAAGCA